CTCATGAAAAAAAACATCTACTAACAGAAAGCATTTCCTAGTTGACTTAATAAATCTCTCTCTTTCAGTGGTGAGTGGGGCACGTTCATTATGCTATAGTATATATCTATAGAAAGCCTGCATGAAAGCAGTATCAAGGTTATTATACTCAATTAAAACTAAACCCATAAAAAAAATAATTCCTTAAAGTAAACGTTAACTGGAATAAAATGAAATGTAAATAAAACTTTTTTTTATTTCAGCTAGTTCCCAAAGCAACATTTCTCGTTTTCAGAAGAGATGTGATTGCTTTATATAATGAACAGATTTAATTGAAGCTTTTATTCACATATGTGACCCTGGAGCACAAAAGCAGTCTTAAGTCGCTGGGGTATATTTGTAGCAATAGCCAAAAATACATTGTATGGGTCAAAATTATTGATTTTTCTTTTATGCCAAAAATCATTAGGATATTAAGTAAAGATCATGTTCCATGAATATATTTTGTAAATGTCCTACTGTAAATATATTAAAACTAAATGTTTGATTAGTAATATGCATTGCTAAGAACTTCATTTGGACAACTTTAAAGGTGATTTTCTCAATATTTTGATTTTTTTGCACCCTCAGATTCCAGATTTTCAAATAGTTGTATCTCGGCCAAATATTGTCCTATGCTAACAAACCATAAATCTCAATTTCGAAAAATTGACCCTTATGACTGGTTTTGTGGTCCAGGGTCACATATAAACATTGATTGATGCACATACATGGAGCACATCTAATATGGTAAACAGAAGCTAAGTTGTGCTTCCTTGACATGCAAGAACCAATATGGTGGGTTCTTGTGCGTCAAGCATATACTGACGTTTGATTCTTGAAAGTTTTGCTTGCTTGAAATTTTAATGGATGGATGAAATTGAAAAAGGAAGATGTTTTGAAGATGAGATTGGTCTGGATCCACAGTGGCCATGATTTCGCGAGTAGGACGTGTTCGTGGATCTGTTGGTCCTGGGTCAGTGTTCCTACCAACCAATCAGATTAAATGGTTAGTGTGGGCTTGGGTCTTCCACCACATTGTTATCAACTGTGATTTTAGGGGTAGATAATGTTAAGGGTTTGTTTTAGGGTAAGAGAGGCATATGTTTATATATTCCAGGACTAAGAAATTATGTTGATCCAAGAGCTTGTCCTACTTGGCAAAATCATGCTAACCCTGGATTCACCTACTTAGGCTAATGTTACTTTACATGGCCGTACCAAGCTTTCAGTACGACCTTTAGAAGAAACACTACATAAATGCATGAAGATATTCCGGTATGACTGAATGTAGCACCAGCCATGCATGTCACGGTACATGTTTCTACACCAAGCCAGTCTGACACCTACCCACATTCAATGCGATTGTGATTCTAGTAAATGTCAGTACTTGATGCATAACCAGCTGTCAGAGAATTTCTAGTTGACACTGGCTGAAGAGTTGTAACCTTGAGTGTCCATGAACTTGAATTGACTGGGCCGGGGTCATTACTGCGAGGATGGTCCTCTTGCTGAGCGTGCTTGTGTTGTTCTGGAGATTGCAGTACATCAGGAAAGACATACCAGAAAGGGGCTGAGGGAGGGCTGCTTCTTTTTTCCTGTTGGGAAATGATTTGATTCATGTGGCCTGTTCACTCAGCAACCTATTCATACTAGTTACCTCAATGTTGAAGCACAAACCGAGCTCTGGCGTTTCCTCTCAGCCACTGACAGAGAGACAGTGCAGGGGGTAAAATATGGGGTGTGCTGTGGAACACAGAATAGCACTGTATTTTTTGGGCTTTGAGCAACTTCAGAGAGGAGGCAGTACTTTTTGAGCTTCTGTGACAGGAACCCACCCTTAGAGAAACATTATATGGTAGACTCGCAATTTAAAGGATAGTCTACTTTGAGCACAAAGCCATTCTTTCCCATTCGCCGCAGATCCTTCAAACTTTCAAGTCCAAAGACAAGGGAACGCAACTGTTTCCAAATAGTTTTCTCTGTGAAAAACTTTGGCAGATGATGTGCCGTAGCCCTCGCTCTATCTGCTCAGAAGTTGTTATATTAGCGGGTTTCATTGAATTCTCACAGTCTGTTTGCCAAGAGTAGCGCGTGATTGTTCCATCAATAGTAGTATTTCTCAATCCTGCCTGTTCTAGCTTAGAAAGCGGTGGACTTGTTGTTGTCGGTGCTGATGTTTAATCTCTTAAACCTGAGGGCAGATTTGTAATACATTGTAAAGGAATTACACATTGTTACACCAACTTCCCATGGTTACTCCAATTTCCCAAATCTCAGGATAATTCAGACCTTTCAGTAAGCATTCTGTATTAATTTTTTGGAAAGAGGATTTTGTTGTTGTTTGGTGTGGTAAAAGATCATATAGTCATTCAGCATCACTATTTTTTAGAGGAGCCACATTTCGTGTGCCAAGTCACAGACGCTTTAAACTGTGAATTGGGCAATTAGAGATTGATTTGGTTATCGAGGATAGCTACCTAAAGTTATACAGTAGTTATATTGTTATCTATAGATATCTAAAGAATAGCATCAAGACAATGACAGCACTGTCCATTAAATTATAAACAAGAAAAAGTAACATACTTAAAGTAACATATTTGCATAATTGTTCCTGTTTACTTTTCATAACCATTCATTCTCAGATGAGCAATTTAAACGTAAGTTTTGAAAAACAGTTTTGCATAAATATAATAAAATACGCAACAAAATTAATAATAATAATGTAAATTATCTTTTGATTGATGTAGTTTAGGAAGTAAAGTAACTTTGCATAAATTTAATGGGATAAATAATAAAGAAATTATTATTATTCATAATACGTGTCATGTTTTTTACATTTTGTTTTCTAATAATTTTGTTATTATATATCAATGCTAAAAAATACAATAATTAATATTCATTGTAATTTAGATAGCAAAACAACTTTGCATAAAAATAATGGTTTTAAAATTATAAATATGAATAAAAATATCTTTTTATTGTTGTATATTGTAAATTATTATTATTATTAATACAAGTAAGCCATGTTTTTTTGTTTTGTTTTAATATTTTTGTTATTATTGTGTCAAAGATGAAATACATCATCATCATCATCATCATCATCTTCATCATTCATATTCATAATACATGCCATTTGTATTTCATTTTCTAATTTGTGATATTATTGTGTTAAAAAGCTGAAAAACTCAATAATTAAAATAAGTTCTGTATTTGTCACATGCAAACTAAAAAAATATCATTTGTATCGTATAACCAAAGAGTTAACTAATTGCCGTGTTTCAAGATATGACAGCTTTCCACTCTTGCTTGGTTTATTCAGTTTTCTCACAGCAGTTTAATCATGTTAACTAATCACTAGGGGTCAGATGATAAGAAGTTTTTCCATTAAATGGGTCAGTTGAAAAGACATGAAGCACTGCAGTCTAATCTGGGAATTCCTCTTAAGGGCTTTTCGGTAACCAGTGCTGCGTTACTTAAAATTGTGCAGCGTTTCTCTTATAGTTAATTAAAAGACCCCAGATCTTTCTCTCAATTAATTATCAATTATCCCGGTGCTTCTCTGTGGTTCTGCAGGGCTGACTGGGCCGTTCCCCCAAGTGATGCGGATTTGAATGGGACGGTATAATGAAGCGGAGCTGTGTTGGTGTATTTATGCGTATGAGAGTGGGGGGTGGAGGGAGTTTCTTTTCATTTCTACCACTGCAGTCGTTTTCATTTTTTTCTTGTCATCATCTGCCCCACTTTCAGTCTTTCATCTTCAGAATGGACTGTCAAGGAGATGTATGTTTGTGTGGGCGTGTGTCACCTTGTGTTTTTATGTGCATGTGTGGGTAAGATGCCTTTCACGCTTTTATTTTACGTTGTGTGTGAAATGGGTGTGTACACTGCGGTTTATAGAGGGTAAGCGTACGCAGGGAAGAGCTATTTCGGGCCTCTTGTGCTCTTGTATTTGAATCTGTAAACGTGTTGTGTGGGCTGGAAACTGAGCGTTATGAGCTGCAACTGATATGGTGTGTGGAAACTAGTGGGGTCATTGGTGAAACTCCAGCTGGGGTTTACCAGCCTTGATTTATGGCAGCTCTCAGGAGGTTGAAGTTCAGATGAGTTACATACAGGGTCCAAAATTAACTTTTTGCCAAATCAGTCCATGGTGATTGAATTGAGAAAACAATTTAGCCATATATATTTTAAGGGTCATGAAACTATATTTGAGATTATTTACAGCAAATATTTTTAATAATTATTTTTCTCCCAATAAAATGCCAGAATTGTGAATCTATTCTTCATGTTAATTTATTCTTCATTAAAGGTCAGTATTTTTCTTTTCTTCAAGGATGCATTAAATTGATCAAAGGTGACAGTAAAGGCAATTCTAATGTTCAATTTTAAAACTCAATTTTATTCTATTTTATTATTCTATTCTCTTTTTATTAAAGAATCCTGAAAAAAAAAAAAATGTTAATCAGCACAACTATTTTTAACACTGATGTGTTTCTTGAGCAGCAAATCAGCATATTAAAATAATTTCTGAAGGATCACATGACACTGAAGACTGGAGTAATGACTGCTTAAAATTCAGGATTACATTACATTTTAACATATATTAAAACAGAAATCTGTTATTTTAAATTGTAATAATATTTCACAATATTATTGTTTTTTATTGAAGTTTTGATCAAATAAATGCAGCATAAGGGACATCTTTTAAAAACATTAAAAAAATCATACTGACCCCAAACCTTTGAATGGCAGTGTTCATTCATTCATTCATTGATGTGTTTAATGATTTTTTGGAATGTTGTGGTTATTGTGATTTCATCCATGCATTATTTTGTTGCATGTAATTCCTAGAAAAGCTGGAGGCAGTTTTATCAACTTTTATAAGTTTTCCCCACATATTTTTATGCAAATTTTCAACATTCCTTGGATGGGAATATTATTAATAAATAACCACCAACCACTAATATTATTATATTAAGCTACAGTACACATCTCTGTTCTTTCTTCAGGATGTCATTGCTTTCCAAAGACACACACATAAATGCAGCTCTCTGGGCTTTCAACAGTGGCTGTTGTTGATCACAGAGGGCCTGCGCTTCCCCCCCTGGGATTTGGGAAAGTTTTCAGGCTGGCCGGGCACCAGAAGGCTTCACATCTCAGCAGATATCCTTAGACCCAGTGTGCGTTAAGTAACAGCAGAAAGAAGCTCTCTAGTGTAAGTGTGTGTTTATGTGTCTCTGCATCCTTCTTTACATAAGCAGGGTCATTGCAAACAGAGACCCGCAGAGATGAGAAATGAGGGCCCCTGACATGTCTGCTGAACACATACACACACTTTTTGTGTCTAGTTTTACAGGACGGCAGCCATATCGACAATATAAAAATCAATTTAACAACAAACAGACTGAAAAAGCATTTTCACCCCAGGCGTGCAGGTCTCAAATACCCTTCCTGATAAAAATCACAAGGTGGGTCACATGACGTGCATGCTCAGGTCACTGGGTAGCTCTTTGAAAAATAGCTCCGCTTTGTAGAACAGGTTTTGTCTGCAGAATGAGTCGTATCATGTGTTGTACGTCCCACTGCCAATGAGATTACTTCGCGGGTCGGTTCAGTATTTCAGCGTTTGTTTCCTGCAGTTTCAGAACTACCGTGGCGCTGTTATGTAAGAGTCTTCATTAAAAGTGACAGAAAAAGGTTTTCCGAAAGGTTGCGTGACCTTTTATCCGGTCGTTCCGAGGCTGTAATGTTAACAAACCGTTTGTAGGGGTGAATGGGAAGGCTAAAAGGTTTTGCTGTCAGAGTGGTGAAATCTCGTGGTGGTTTGGATTGAATCGGCAGGTCCCCGCTGACTGTCTGCCTTGCCTCGCACATGTGCACACACACACACGCACGGTGGGGGTGCCGCGTGATTGATTGTCGGCGCTGGATCGCTGGGCTTGTGGTGTTTCATTCACACTCCAACTCAGTTTGTGCTGCTTTCACAGATCTCTGAGAGGAGGCCTCAACTTTCGTAAAGCACATGCTTGTGTTCATCCTTTATGTTCTGCGAAAGAGGATGGGAGGGACAGCTTTCACAGTGGGTTTTTTGGACGTACTGTTCCATTATATTTCCTTATATTTTTTGGCCGTTTTCTGTACTATTAAAATGCAAAGATTTAATTGTTTTCATGTTATGTCTGATAACCCGTAAATGGCCCATATTATAAATTTATTAAAATCTATTAAAATTAAAATACTAAAAATAAAAGTAATTGTATTTGATGTGTACGGTACCATGGTATTGCCTAGTTTTTTGTAGACAACATTTTTTTAGCCATGCACCATGGTATTGTTAGATATTTTTTTAAACCATTACCATTGTATTTTAGAAGTGTACATGGTATTAGTTTTTTTATACATGCATCATGGTATTACCTTGCTTTTTAGATATGCACCATATTATTAACTTGTTTTTTTTTACATGTTGCATTTTATTACCTTGTTTTTAAACATGCACCATGTTATTACTATTTTTTTTAAATTTTTTTTTTTACATGTGCCATGGTATTACCTTGTCACTTATGTACTGTGGTTTTACCTTGTGTTTTTTAGATATGCGCCATGATATTAGGAAAAAACATGTTTTTTTCCTATGTGTACAATGGTACTAACTTGTTTTTTTTGACATGGTACCACAAGTATTTTATCATGGTATTAGTTACCATGGTTTATTTGACGTACCATGATAATACTGTGAATAAATACTATGATTTTTGGATCTGTATCATGGTAATACTTTTTTTTTTTTTTTTGACATTTACAGTACCTTGTTTATTTTGACATGACTTGTTTTGAACAATTACACTACCATGGTCATATTTCAACCATTTTGATTTACTGGACATGATGGTACTATGTTAAGGTCATGATATTATTTGAGATACCTTTGAGAACCATGAAAATACTATAATTTATGAATATTGCAATCATTCAGTGTCGTGGAATATATCACAATATTACCACACTGTAAAAAATAAGTTGCTGCCTTAAATTTCTAAGTACAGTCAATTTAGCTGTTTGTCATTTCAACTTAAATTACATTTAACTGTCTTAAAAATGAGTTGAACCTTGTACAACTTATAAAATAAAGTTGAAAATTGCTTAACTTATTTTGATGAGTTAAAGTAATGTAAAAACACACGCTGTCATAACTTATTGGTCATATCATATTTTACATCTGATATCACCAGTATGTTTTTGTCAGGGCAGGATGTGTAATTATTGACACTGAGAAAGACAAGGGAGAGAGAGAGAGAGAGAGAGAGAGAGAGAGAGAGAGAGAGTGAGTGTACAGGCAGGTGAATAGAGATGCGTTTGAAGTGTGCTATATATTTCGGATTGTAATGCCTTGCAGCTCTAATCCCTGCATTATGCCCTCTGTGGATTTGCCCATGGAATTACCCTGTAGTAAAGAGCTCAGTGTGCGTGACTGGGCCAGCGTGGGCTGACGGTAGCCAGGCACTGATATGTAATGCTGATGGAGGGGAGGGTGCAATCTGAGCGACAGCGAGAGGGTCTCTACTGTGTGCTGTTCTCACTGAGTGGCATGAAGCCAGGACAGGGAGAGAATCTCATTGGATGTGACAGTGTTGTGAAACAAACCAGCAGCAACATAGCAAGTGAATTACAGACACAGAGGTCTGGTGTCTGGGAAAGGGCCGACCGCTGGTGTGTGTGAGCCTATTGTCGTGTGTGTATGTGGGAGAGGCTGATGTTAGCACAGTCATGTGCAATTATTATTTTTTTTGTGTGCTTGTGAAGGATTTTTTTCTCCACAACAGCGACAATTTTAATTGCAATACTAATTGATTTAATAAGCAACGGCTGTATTTAAACACCCCATCTACACCGCAAAGGGTGAGACCACTCAGCAGCTTCTGAGCATTTACTAAAGCACAGGACTTGGTGTGTTTGCAAAGAGAAAGTTTTTCTCTCGTTAATTTTATAAATACTCACTTGCTTATATCAGTGTTACTGTTATCTAAAACTATACTAGCTTTGGTTTGCAACTAAGTGAAATAAAATAAGTTTAAAGGGTTAGTTCACCCAAAAATGAACTGAAATGAAAATGTTTTACTCCTAGGCCTCCTGTAGCGAAATCGATGCGTTTTTGTAAGAAAAATATCCATATTCAAAACGTAATAATCACTTTAATGTAGCTTGCGCCAACAGTTGTACACAGAAGCAGCTCCGGGCGGATGAGGTATGAGTTCAGCATTGCGCATGCGCCGGTGAGTCTCGTGAAAACCAACGTTTGTTAACAGGATCAAAGGAAGCAAAGTTTTCTTACTTTTAGCAAAGGAAAACCAGTCTCCTCTTGGCTTATATCGAAATCCTCCAACATTCTTCTTTACAAATCCTCGTTTTGTACTTCTAATTAGTGACTGTTGTTTTGTTTTGATCTCTCCGCTGCTTTTCCGCGTGCGTCACTTCTGACTTCACTTCTGCATGCGCAAAGCCGATGAAAGAAGAAAGTCATATACACCTACGATGGCTCTGGGGTGAGTAAAGCACAGCCTAATTTTAATTTTTGGGTGAACTAACCCTTTAAGGTGATTAAATAAAATTACTACAACAGAAATAAAAATAGATTCAACCTACATAGAAATATTAAAAAACAAAAACTATTAAAATGCCAAAAGCACCTAACAAAGTTTACTTAAATTAAATTAAATTAAATTTTAAAATAAAAACTTAAAATATAAAAATAAAAAACAAATTCAAAATATCAAGAAATCCTATAATAGCATATAAATAGTACAAAAATAATGTTGGTTTATATGTACTGTATATTTAGTATGTAATGTATGTCTGTGGTGAATGAAAATCCACATGCTTCCTTTTCTTTAACCCAAATATCAATTATTTATTCGTCCCAGAAAATGTGTGCAAAATGGTTATTATTTACTGAATAATGATTCATGGAGTTTTGAGAATTAGCCTGTGGTTTTGTCATATATGTGGCAAACTTTAACAGTGCATACAAGTTCTGTGCTTAATTTAACATTTATTACACTCTAAATCTCTGACATTTAAAATGGACAGCATTTTAATCTTTTATAAAAATAAATAAATAAATAAATAAAAAAATACGTGACATGTGGCCAAGTATGGTTACCCATACTAGGAATTAGTGCTCTGCATTTAACCCATCCTAAGTGCACACACACAGCAGTGAACACACACACACCGTGAACACACACCCGGATAGAAAGGATTGATAACTGTTTTGTGCTTTTGAAATTAAAGAATCCATTTCTTTTTAAAAGCACAAAACAGTTATCAATCCTTTCTATATTAAAAAAATAAACAAGAAAAAAGTGTTTATTATAATTGTATTAGTGTAGTAGGAGGGTAAGGTATAATGTAATGTTTAAGGGAGTGTAATGTATAATTTGTTTTGTTCTTGTGTGGATGAAGTGCATGTTGTTGTTTAAAGGATGTTGATTGTTGTAAACATAGATATTGTCATGCAAGAAAAATTTCAGACTCGTCTGACAATAAAGTGCCATATCATATCATATCATATCATATCATATCATATCATAATCAATTATTCATGGTAAAAAAAAAATTATCTTTTTCCCATAATGCATTTGACCCTGCAGTCTTGACCTCATCACCAATGCCTCTGTAACCTATAGTTCTCATCAAATTATGTGAAGTTGTTTAAAAACCTAGAGATTCACCTCAATTAGAGATGAGCAGAAAAACATCTTCAACAAACGAATAACCAAGTCCAGGTTCTCTTGAATGAAACTGTACCTGATATTTACAGATACCCTGCATGACTGAAATCATTCATAGACACATTACGTAAGTTCAGAACAGCAAATACTAAACACTGCCAAATTATCGGTGTTCATGTCATAAAGTGACTAGAGGCTGTCTCAATCTTATGATCATGTCTGGACTTAAAGGCATAGTTCACACATAAATCTA